ATGTTAACAAATTACTTATACAATATTTACTGTCCATTAATTATGTGTAATATTTTAGCTTGGTGTCACTTCCAGTCAGGCAGACTTACAAACGATCACCTAAGTAGTGCGCACAGAGGAGGCACCAATACCAGGCTCCGTTCGGTGCGTATCGGGGATTTAGATTGCATTTTAATTACAGACCGCGGTCATTAAAATTAGTGATGTCATACTGTAGATAAATATACGTCTATAAAACTGACAGGAAATCCAGATTTGCAAAGATTGCTCGAGTGACTTGTTTAGAATAAATCTGCTCTTTAAGACGTTATCTTAATCATCATTTAATTTTGATATATCCAGTCTCTAGGGAGTGATGATAATCCGGCCTAGCTGAATAAGCTTCTATTGCAGTCGTTCTGCCGAGGATTTCCGAGTACCGTTATATTACGTCATAAAACCGTAAGTTACGACATAGGACATATGGAGGGGAGAGGGGCAACATTTACCGCGCAATAACTATCTTAGATTGCACCAAAAAATGCCAAAATGGAGGTAAAATCAATATAGTGTTGGAAAGAAGACCATATTGAGGTGTTGACTGTAATACAGCTAGCAGATATTATGTCACCTGAAGCGTACAATCTGTCGGTAAGACAGTGACCATGTTGTGTCAGCGAAAGCTTGGTACGAATGCCGCGTAACCAAATCAGTGGAAGTGCCGAACAGACTGTCGGATAAATTCACCGGAAGAACCGTACAGACTGTCGGGTACATGGTTACAAAAACGTCATCAGCAGTACCGTACAGACTGTCGGGTACATGGTTACAAAAACGTCACCAGAAATACCGTACAGACTGTCGGGTACATGGTTACAAAAACGTCACCAGAAATACCGTACAGACTGTCGGGTACATGGTTACAAAAACGTCATCAGATGTACCGTACAGACTGTCGGGTACATGGTTAAAAAACGTCACCAGAAATACCGTACAGACTGTCGGGTACATGGTTACAAAAACGTCACCAGAAATACCGTACAGACTGTCGGGTACATGGTTACAAAAACGTCATCAGATGTACCGTACAGACTGTCGGGTACATGGTTACAAAACTGTCACCAGAAATACCGTACAGACTGTCGGGTACATTGCATACAAAGCATCTGAACGTGTAGGATGTGGGTGGGGAGATAGATTGAGGAGTGGGAGAAACAGAAAGAAGATTATAGGTGTCCGTTTGATAAGAAGGAAGGAGGGAAGGGGTAGGGATAGAAGAAAGTTGATGTCCCGGGATTGTTTTGATTACAACTTCCCTTTTATCATGGCTTGAGTAAACGTCAGAAAGGACACGATTAAGTCATACTTGAACGGGGGATAAAGAAACAGGTAAATAAGATTGTATCATTTTCAATCTCCTTGAGATAATCTCATTGGGGCTAAAGTAGTCTTTGTATGGTGTGGGCAGTACGAGAAGCTAATCGGCCCCACACAGATAATCCCTAGTCAGCATGTCTCTGCCTTACTTCTGTCCCAGCCCTGGCCGAGGTTATATAACTCATCAAAAATGTTTCCGGCGAATATTTTTATCGATAGAAGACCATGGTTTAAGTATGCTTCAATGAACATCTTTTTTTTTTTTTGTTTTCTGACGTCACATGTATGTTTCTTTATTATGTGACAAACTATCGTGACATTTATTAGTAAAACGAAAGTGACACTACTTTTTCCTGTTTTTTTTTTTTAGTTTCGGGCTTTTTATTCTATTTTTTTTTCAATTGGAGACTGTTTTCTGCTGGTTAGCTCTTTGTCTCCGTGATAACCACTTTGTTCATAAATCTCGACTTTCTCAGTCTTCATGGTATTTCCAAAAATGAGAATTAGAAAAAAAGACTTGCAGGATTGGGGAAAAACATATGTAAAATTGGACGCATTGTTTGTAAACTAACGATTTTTATCTCATCTGTTGACGTTATCATAGAGCATTTAACACTGTGTATTAAATCTTGTTTAAAAATAAACTTTTATATTCAATTCTAAATACTTGTAGTGTAATAAACCCAATGAAATGTTGTAATTGTCGGAAGGTCTAAATAGCAGACGTAACACGATAGATAACTTACTACCTAAAACCATACTATTTCATTTCTCCAATTTGTATTTTCTTTTTCCTGTTGTACTTATTATAATTATTTGTTCAATTGCTGGATCCACAACAGTTACACATTCGTGTGTATCCCTCCGTAACACTCAATCTATGACTTTCGTCCTGTCCGGCCACAATTTATTTACAGGCAAGTTGGCTGTTACTTGTTATATATATCACCCAACCCAAAGGAAAAATAGATTGTGTAGGTAGTTCACTGATAATGAGATAACGATGTTCGTCCCAGCCAGGGACATACACAAAAGTTGTACAGGTCCCTATTCCATTTGTTCAGAGACGTATATAACATGTACGCCTCTGACTTACTGAACAAAATAATTTCCATATGTATAAAATAAGTATAATAATTATAGTAATGCGTCACCTTACTGTAACACACAAATAAACGTCCTAACTGAGTCTAATTAATCATTTGTTACAGATCAATTACAGTCACATTCCCATCATCCGGATCGCAATACAGGTGTATTATACATTTAGTTTAAAACAACGGGTTCAAAACAATTTTATCCCGAAATAGAACTTCTCCTTTATATTGTCAGTTCATGACTTTAATATTCTACATGTTCCGAATAATAATTTTCTGTTGATTCTAATTCAACTTAGACGTATTTCTATGTGGTGACAATAAAGTGTTGCTGTGAGCGTTTGATGGCTGTATAAACGTATTTCTGCTGTTAATTGTAATCAGTTCTAATCACAACTTGTTCCGTGTGATATTTATATGTTTCATTCTGGCGTAACCCTCACACAGCAATAATGATCGAGTTTTGGGTTTATACAGAATAATGAATACAAGATTTCTGTATCAAATGTTTAAAACTTATAAACTTCACTCTCATGATTAATTACGTAATGTTTTTCCCTGTTTATTTGCTATGTATATTAATACGACTCTTGTTTAAATGTGGATTGTATTTTGATTCTATTTTTTCTACCTGTGCAATCTTCAATCTTGGAGGAAATAAGGGAATAATAAAGACGGATTATAGAAATTAAATATCTTTTTATTAAAATGGTTTTCTATGTTGGTTTTAATGAAAGTTTTCAAGTCGACATTTAAACATATTAATTTGAAACGAAATAACGGTAAATAAATTAATTAAAAAGAAGAAGAAAAAAAGAAAATGCTAAAAGCACATTTATCAGAGTATAAATATTGATGTAAAACAGAGAGAAGTCAACATAACGCAACACGACACAAGGAAGAGCACACCGCACAATATCTGGCAAAATTTATAAAAATACAACTGTATTACTATCTTATTGTGTGGATGGGTTGACATACCGCGCTATTTTTATCTGAATAGTCAGGAATCGATACTAATTCCTGACTTCAGTTTTAGTGTAGAAACCATTCTAATGAAAATATATATGTAATTTCACGTTAATAACTACATATTAAAGAAGTTAAGTATATACAAAATTTGTTCTGTATATTTCATAGATATAGTGATTTCTATCTATTTTTCTTGCCGTATAGATATAAATTATTTCCACTGTTTACCATTGGTGGTCAGTGTGTTATAGTATAGATATTATAATGTAGCCATCGTATTGATGGTCAGTGTGTTATAGTATAGATATTATAATGTAGCCATCGTATTGATGGTCAGTGTGTTATAGTATAGATATTACAATGTACCCACCGTATTGGTGGTCAGTATATTATATATAGTATAGATATTATGATATATCCACTGTTTACGGGGGTCGGTGTATCATAGGGCTCAAAATACACTGGGACAACAATATACTGATATATCTGAGTGTAGAATCAAATTCTTTACTGTCGATATTGCAAAATTACATTGATCAATAAATTTACAAATTTTCATATCTAAACTGAAAGAAAAAAAAGAACCATGCACGCACACACACACAAAATCAGTAAAACCAACACAATCAAAAAATTGTATTCCATTCATCTCCACAATGTTCAATATCATATAAGTATAATTTTTACATACACTTGTTTTTAAATAACGTTTATCATATCTTAAAAAAATAACCAATTAATTTAGTGTCATGGATAATTAATTAATCAAAATATTATCATATGCAAAATGTGCAACGACAAGTTATCTTTTAAATTATCAAAATTGATTAATAGCTGTTTACCTCATTTTAACACAACGATAAGTCATTGAATTGAAGTTTTACAAATGAATACACTGTAATATATACACGCTAACACGAACAAGTCCGTACTACTGCTGTATTACTAAATTCTCATGAATGAACAAAGACACGCCCAGCCAATGCGAACCAATGATCTGAGAAGTAGGCGTGGCTTTACCGCCTTTTTCCAAAGATTTATCGTTTTTGCCAGCCTTCTCGGTGCTAAACGGTTGGTTACGCCAGGCTAGTTTGTCCGCTTCAAGCACACCACTAGGGTTTCGATAGTAGAGCGGAGCTGCTAGTGGGGATCTCAAAACTTCCTTCTGAAAAATCAACACACTGAAATTGATAACCGTAATGTCACATTGCAGGGCTGGAGTACATGGCTAGAGAACCGGCAAGTTCTATCGGATAGCCGAAACGACACGGAGAGGAGACTACTGAGAAGTAGAGGATTATTTTTGTGGATACTGATGATTTGATGATATGCATATGTGAAAAGTATGAAAACGTGAAAAAATAGCATTTACACCTACCAACTTGTAAAGTGTGGAAGTGATTGGATGTGTATCGCAGTGTGCCCGTAGGGAGTATATCAGGAATATAAACACACAGTTATGTATATAGTGGATTACTTATACCGGACACATCAACTGTTGTGTTTTAATTCATAATACATTCATGGCATGATATTCACTCAATTTTTGGAAATTAATAATTTTAATCTGCAAACATGCAGTTTAAAAGGAAAAGTGATTTTATTTCAACGACTGTTTTTAATGTGTGTTTGACTGTTGTTTTTCTAGTCAATGGTGGACATTCTGAAAGTAGAGGTAAGTAAACAATAATATTGTCTTGTTTTTATGTTTGTTTATTTAACATTTGTCATAGGGGAGACATTAAGCCGTGAAGAATATTATAAGGGCTCTTTGCGTTCATCTAAAGAACCACTCAGTTTTCTTAGTCGATTACTTCCCGCAGAGAAGGTGTAATACAATTCCTTTCAATCATCTCTCAACACTGCTGAGTGTATCGATTTGAGGAACTCTATTTCTGCAAGTGTACCCCCATCCCTTACCTCTGTCATTCTATTTGAATAATAATAATAAAAAACTCTTTTTGAAATATCTAACAAAATGTGAATAATACAAAATCATATTGATTAATTAAATACTGACGGGCTGAGCAGACGGAAAAAACCCGCTACATCCTAAGTGACCTGTTCATTTCAAAAGCTTAAAAATCAATTAATAAATGATAGAAAAATCAAGAAACTACGGAATTATTTAATTTTATGTATTCCCTACATCTTGGTATTTAGTATGTTTATGAAAGAAGATGCTAATAAAATAAATACAACACGGGCACCATGCAATTAAAATCACGGTTGATTAACCATCGTTATTTAAGTAAGGATTTAAAAAATCACTATTTTAATTCTCCGTTTGAACTTTGGTACTTGACGGAAGTTTCGTGATGGCCATTTGTATATTAAAACGCTTATTGAAGTATCACTCTGAGGCTGACTTCAGTGATTAAGAAACGTTTTTACTCAAGGTGCAAAATCGATGATGGTTCCTTACGGCGGCTTGCAGAGCACACGCAGTTGAAGTCGAGAACATGTCTTTATATAGCCTATTGATATCACAAATACAAGCAATAACATCGATGTTTCTCGTCAGCAAACTAATATACTGCCGAAGAAACCCTGTGATTTATAATATTGATTTTCAATGTTAAATTCAATATTTCGCCGTTAATTGTGTAACCATCAATTAGTTTATTTTTTTGTAGATTAGGAAATTTGATTAATGTAGAAAGTTGGATTTGTACATTGATTATTTATCGTTTGTTTAAAACGGTGTCACTTAGAGAAGAATCGGGAGTTCGAGTCGGTGGCGAACCGACAATCAATAGTTTGTATACATGTTTATAAATACACGCAAAGTGAAGCCGTTTTAACGCGCACTTGTGAAGTGATTTAGAACCAATAACCATAGAATGTTAGCAAGATAAAATCCAAATAAATATTCTCTTTTTTTCACGAAGAAAGTTTATAATTTCTATTTAGAAAAGTCGAAATGGATTTCATGAATAGTACGATCTAGAACAGGAATATTGCAGTCTTTTTATGTGTATGTTTATTTATAAATCTTGACATTAATGGGGAGAGAGAAGATAAATGTTACTTCAAAGAAAGAATTTCCATCCATATTCAAAAAGAAAATTGTTAGGCGCGAAGTCTGTTCTAATTGTTTGAAGGTCTTTTGCCTGCTGGACACCAAAATCAATTACCGATCGATAATTTGCTGGATATTACAAGGTTGTTTGACAAATGTTCCACGGATAAAACTGGACAATAGCAGTAGTGACCACTAATTGAGTGTGATTAATGTGCCGTGTGCTACCTATGGTCACCTTAGGAAGAGTTCTTTGATGACAGTAGGTGGTGGAGGGAGCACCCCTCTAACCCGCCGAGCAGTTCACCTGTAATGCGATTAAAGCCGATGACCTAAGAATGGCCGATCTGATAAGCCTTACGCAACCTAATGCCTAGAGACAATGTTCTAACCACGTTTTCATATGGTCAGCGTGGTCCCTGTCAGATGGACTGTCCACCCCTTGTGTCCTTACCGACCACTACACGTATTGGTTGTCACTTCTATGATTGTGTTGACAGGGGACATGTGGGACTGTTTTTACAACATGTTTGATAAAGATTCTGATATAGGCTTATAATTGCTGTTAGCTATATATTATTATGAAAACAGAGAGAAGATAACCTCATCTCTCTGGCATTATCACAAAAATGTCATAGATAGGAGTTGATAGCCATATATTGTGTGCTTTTCATAGATTAAATTCTGTACAATTTTGACATTTTTAGTTGGTAATGGTATCGACTAAACCTAAAAGAAAAAAAAAAAAAAAGAAATTAAAGATGTAAAAACATAACACAAAAGTCATCAAATGAAAAGATAAATTGTATTTTATTAGTAAAAACTTCTAAAAAAAGCAGCAAAGCTTATTAATATTGCAAAAATCCTGAGAACAAACAGAATAAAAAGATGAAATGTTTATAATCATTCTTTTGTTTTAAAATAAATTGATGTTAAAAATGATCTCCTCTCAAGTGCATTGAACTTATTTCAGTATAAAACACTTTTTAGATAAAAGATTTTTTAAAAACTTTTAAGTGTCTATCATATAAGCGAACTTCTTTATGTTGTTTAAGTCCTATTCTGGTACTAAACAGATGCCCATAATATTCCTTCCATAAAATACCACTTCCTTTCCTCAAAAACAAAATTGATATGGGGAAATCTTTTTGATGGAAAGTTCACAGAAGCCATGAAATTTAATCATTTTTCTGTGGTGCACAATTGTAATCCGGAAAAGATTAGTGAGAATTCATCATGCCTCGTTTAGATAACGCTACACAGGGTGTAAACCATTGTCTGTATAGTAGTGTTATATACAATTTCATATACAGTCATCATGTATTATCAGTAATGTTTCGAAAATCTTCTGAAATATGCATGAATCATTGGTAAAGGTCATCAGTTGTCATTACATAAGAATTAACCTAACACAAGTCTCTCGACTCTGCCCACTAGTAACATGGACATCCAGGTGTGTTTAGATGATAGGGTAGATGATATCGGGGATGTGATACGCCCCACCTGGTACAGATACACACACAATGTCAGCAGCACCGCTTGATCTTTTCGATGATAGAATGTGAAATGTATGCCTTCAGCATCTGAAACCCATTCCTCTGTGGCTCACTAGCTACATCCAGCTCTCTGCTAACTCCACAAAAATCTATTTTACTTCACTGTGCTAACCTTACAATAGCGCTCATCATCTAGATCTTTCTACCCTCCAACACTTATACTGTATCCCTCATCAACATCCATTTCTCCCCTAATCTGATTTCCGCCGGTGTAGGTTTCATTCTATTACAATACAAAAGGCTAGGGATTGTAGAGGGATTAAATTTTCAGTGATTGAGTATTTTTGTAAGCTATTGGATGAAAAGAAACCGTTTTAGAGTAAAGGATGTTTTTGAGATAGGCCCAACTTGTGTAGTTTAAGGTAGAATTTTTTTTACATGCAGAGTGAAACTTCCACCTGATCATTTGAGTGGAAGATATTTCACAATTTTTTCTAACAAATTCATATATTTACTATCTTTTCTGACATGATTTTGGGTGATATTGTGTGTACAAACTGCCTGCACTTCATTGGTATATTCAAATAAATTTCATGGACAGTTTACAATCTTCATATTTATAGTTCATTCTGATAACCAATAATATGTTTCATGTTCAAAAACATTGTTTTGAATAACTTACTGTTAATTTATGTAGTAAATATCTATGGATGTTGGTATTCCTATTGTTTCGTTTGAAATTCACTTGATAACTTAACAATTTCTATATACAGTCTAGAAACAAAGGATTGTCCTTTCCTCTCACTCTCTGAAAACAAAATTTCTTTTTAAGTACAACATTAGTCTAAATTATAGTTTTATAGACAGGTGAATTATTTATGTGTGTATTGGTGAATTACACACCCTATTTCCTGAGTTGAGAGCAAATCTTATAAAATATTCAGGCATAAAAATCAGTAAATTTTTCCCCATCAAATTACTACCATACAAATAGAATATTTTATTTATATAGCCCCTCTCTTGTTTACTAATATTTAGTACGCCACTTGATATAAATTGATATTTAGTTAGTGTCTAAGCTTTTATTATGTCTATATTTGACTTGGGTGATTTATAATGTAATTACCATAAATGGGCCCTTGAAAGTAAGATTTTTCAGAATTTCTAACCTGGAGACAGGTGCAGTTGTTATGGGGGTAAAGTTAACATTTCATAAACATAATGATAACCCTTTTAGATAAAGGGCTGGGGTGTACGTGGCCAGGTGGGCAGATTTTAGGGGTTTGAAGGGTCTCCCTCTTTCCATAATCTCTTGGTGATAGCAGCTTGAAATGATAAACCAAAATGAAAGTGGGTTTACACATACATTCCAGGGTTGTTCTCCAGATAAATTATCAAGTAATTGACAGACTTTTGGTTGGAGAGAGAAATAAAAATCAGGTGTTTGTGTGCTTAGTGGATGCTTACCACAAACTTTTATATAACAGTCATTTAACAGTTGGTAAGGAGTTTACAACACAATTATGTGAAATGCTTTCCTTATTTCTCAACAGATTTGTCTAGAGTTAAATGAACAATTTCTAATGGCATAATAAGTACTATACATAACAGAAATGGAGAAATTCTGGCACAGAATTCAATATCAAGATTAAATTTGAAAATAATCTGTTTTTTTTTTTTCTTTTATCATAATTTGGTGATTAAGTATGCAAACATTGTATGTTATTTTAAGTATGGAAAGAAAACATTACTTGTAACTACAACAACAAATATGAAACTTATACACTACTAGACAGATCTTGCCTTCCCCACCCCAGCTCCAGTACAAAAATATCACACATTTTCTCACCTTTGAATATCTATATAACATATATATGTAAGTTGGTATCCTTATGCCTGCCATGCCTCCATAATTATGTCTGACTGGACGTAATGGAGGCAGTGGAATCAAATATCAGAGTAGTTACACTTTGTCAAGGTCCAGCACTGCAACAGTGGCCATTTTATAGGAGAAAAGCCCATATGGAAATGCAGTTTAGGGCGAGAAGTGAGAGGGAGAGATGATTTTATCAGGGAGTGTTGTCAGGTGAGACTTTCTGAGGTCCCCCATAAATCTACTGTAACACCACACTTGCCTGGCACAAAACTGACAAGACC